TTATTTTATTTTATTATTTTATTTTATTTTTGAGAGCTCTTTTACAGTTTAAGATTACATAACCAAGAAGGAAATAAGTATTATCCTTTCATTCAGATTCTTAAAAACAAAGGAAATGGCCAGCAAAAGGCAATAAAACTGTAGTTGTTACCATATCAGGAACATAAAGAATGAAGTTTGCTGAAGAATATAAATTCTGACAGACTGATCTGCTTGAAAAGAATCACCCTTAGAATTGCAAACCTTTTCTCCAGTCTGAAATAGAAGCAGTAAACTTCTCGCTAAGGGTGAGCTGGGAATAGTTTCTGAGTTTAACATAGTGACAGCAATGAATTAGACTTCAGAGATTAGTTTAGCATCTGCAGACTGAAGGGATGCTGGGAAAGAAAAGAAAAGAAAAGAAAAGAAAAGGCCAGGTAAGGATGGCTGTGGCATTGGTTGCAGAGAGGGGGATGTTGGAGGGAGTTACCGAAAGACATGGACCCAGCTGCTTTATAAAGTTCATTCTTTTTGTGTTCATGGCAGCAATGAATATAAGTTTTAAAGCTCATGTTTGGAAGATCCTTTTATGAGTTGGAGGATCCAGACTGAGAGGTCAGAGTTGATATAGTTGTTTTGTCAAGATAGTGGGAAGTTTCTCTCCTTGAGTTGTCCATGTGCTTTGATCCTGGTGTGTAGTGACTGGTTGCTTTCACCCATGTGGTGCTCATGAGGGCTCTGTGTCTGTAGGCTGGATGTCATGAGCATCTAGCATATATGGCATTAAAGGATGTTCATGGCTATGTTTTTTAGATATGGAAATTATCAAGTCTTTGCTTCTGTGGCTTTGATGCAGCTCTGTGCTCTGGTTTTGTGAGAATCTTGGTTCGGACTTCACTTGAGGCTGAGGTCACTGAAGACTAACAGGGAAGAGTTTTGGGAAAGTTTATTCTGAGATGGAGTATTATAGAGAAAATTCTATTATTCTATGAATATCGAGAAATAACTGCTGCTTATAGGATTCTGCAGGCAACTGCATATAATTATCCAGAGAGTTTACATCTCTGAGTTTATTTAAAGTGAACTTGATGTGTTTGGTATCATTGTAAAAAGGAAAACTCAGCAAACTTCTATCCCTCCAACTTCAACTTCTGACATATTTATATTTTACTAATGTCCGTGAAGGTCTGAAAAAGCAAGTGCAGACTTTACCACTTTGTAGTTTTTAAGTGATTTCATATCTTTACTGATATGATTCTGAAAAGTTCCAGCTACAAAATAAACTTTTTTACCTTGAGACTTGAAACTACGTAGAGCTTTCATAATTTGTGTTTTCTGTTAGTCACCCTGAATATTATGTTTTAAAGCAATTCATATTAGTTGTTCAATGTCTGATAATTTTAACTTGAGAGTAAGGAGAGAAATAAAATGGATAAATAGTGAAGAATAACCCTTTCAGAAACGTTGTGGAGTTATGTGTTCTTTTCTCCATGTTGTCTGCTGCTTACTTAAAGCCTCGAATGTGGCTCTTGGGAGCAGAACTAGAGGCATGGTCACTTTTTATGTATTTAAACTTGGCAAGATTTTGCTTTATCAGCAGGGGTCACTATAAGCATAGGACTCAAACAGGAATTGCCTTGAAGATTTTTTTGCAGGTTTGGGGGGAATTATCTTTACTTAATGTTCTGACCTCTTCTGAACTACTGAGCCATATTTACATACTGTGTTCAATGCAATTTCTAAATTATCATGTATTTCATCTTGTTTCCAATTTGTTTTTCATTTTTAAGGTCATTTTGGAAATAAAAATCCTTGTATCACTTTGAGGGCGGGGGAGAGAAAGAACAATAGGTTACTTTCTTTCCTGCCTTCTCCCATACCCTGAATGTGGGCCTTTGAAAAAGAATAGGTAAAATCTGTACACGCCAGTGAGGAAAATGTTACAAATATCTGTGATGCTAGCAATCTGTTAAGTTACTGAATAGTTCTTTCTGTTTTGTTCTAAGATGACTTCTTAGTACTCCATCTCTCTGACCTTATTCGAATGGCATTCATGGCTGCGACTGATCACAGCAACCAGTTACGAATGGCGGGTCTTCAAGCTCTTGAAGACATTATCAAGAAATTTGCATCAGTTCCTGAGCCAGAGTTTCCAGGCCATGTGATACTGGAGCAGTATCAGGCTAATGTGAGATCTCCTTTATAAGTTTGGGAAATTGTATGTTTGTGCCGATACTAGCTTTGAGAACATTTTGTAACTTCAAAAGACCTGTGAGGAGATTCTTGTTTGTGAAAACATACTGAAGAGACACTTTTATTTATCTCTTCAAAATTTATTTTTGTGTCTCTTCCTATTTATTGTAATTTAATAGCTGATGAATGTAAAAGTTCAGTAGCTATTGATTCTTGAAAGCCAAATATTACAAGTTATATTTAATTTTTGGCAAGAGTGCCATTTAATTTGTTGAATTGGGAATTGAAAAACACTGACCCACTTTCAGATTGAATCTAGTAAATCTATTTTCTTGGTAATTAATATACTTCTGTTTCAATGTAAACTAAAAAAGTATAGGAATGGGAAGTAGGTAGTTGAAGATTTGTTTTGGACCATTATTGCTTTCTTTTTTTTTTTCTGCATAGCTTTACTCTTTCACCTATCTTGTCTTCACTCTGCCTTCAGGATCTCTGCAAATACTTTTTAAAGGCAGGCTTCCATCCTTCTCACTTGCTGCATTTTTCTCCCTTCTGTAGTGCTGTAACCATTACTTCTGTCTCTTTGACTTGGTTGCTTTTGTTTCAGAAAAATGCTCCCTTATAACAACAGGCTTTTTTGTCAGTATTTTTCATTTTGGGAACTTGATGCAAATCCAACCATAAACATGTGAGTTCATGTCATTATTCCTGTGGACATCAGAAAGTCGTTCTTAAGCCTTAGGATAAATTGCACCTGTAATACTTTAATGATTAAAAAGATTCTCATTAACAGAAGGAAGTTAATACTACCTATTTGACAAAGGTAGTTAGGGATTAAAAAGGCAATGGGCAAGCAAGAAAAAACTGGTTTAGGATTTTGTTGTTGATTAAAGAATAGTATTGCAAATGTCTGTTAAATAGCAAGGTTAAGTTTGGGTGTGACTACAATGCTAAAATTTGCAATTTTGTCTTGTTTGTTCTATATGTGCTTGAGCCTTAAGGTGAGATGAAAAATGTTGTATTAGTTGTGATTTGGGGATTTTTTTAATATTATTTTTCTTTGTGTCAACAGGTTGGAGCAGCTCTGAGGCCAGCTTTTTCCCAAGATACACCGTCTGATATAACTGCAAAGGCCTGTCAGGTACAGAGGAAAACTTTCAGAGAGTATAAGCCAAACTGATTTTTCCTTCTCTTTGAAAGAAAGATGCAGAAGAGAAATAGTAGCAAATGGCTGGAAAATTTTCTAAACTTAAGCCATGATGGTTTGCAACATCCTTTGAATCTCCTAGTAATGTATTTTGTTTCTCAGAAATGGAGAAGTCCTAGGGAGCTACATCAGAAAGTATTTAGTCTTTGAAACGAGTTATGTCTTCATGTTGATTCTGCATTTGTTGCTAGAAGAAGAAAAAAACCCTTGCTGAATGAGACCAATAATAATGTAGTTGAGATGGCTTTAAATCTGATCAAATATCTGTATTACTGATAATTTACCTTGAAACACTAAACTTCCCATTTAAGATTTTGGAAGATCTGAGCATTCTCATTGCAGTCATGATAACAACATGTCAGCAACATAGCTGTAGTAGTATCTGATATGTGATTTACACAGCTGGATTACTACTACTGTAGTTTAAAAGAGCAGTTTAATTAGCTATGCAAACATCAGTTTTAAAATAACATTGGATACATGAGTTCTGTTTAGTAAATCTTAATCCAGCAGAACTATGATTTTGTTTTGTTGTCTTACGTTTTCATCTCCAGCAAAACTTGTAAGGACAGATGAAATATGTCATAATTTGGTGTCTATTCATAGGAAAGAATATGCTCATCTTACTTTAGAGAAGGTTTCTGTACATTTAAAGTTCGAATGAAGAAGGAGTTTGTATGAAGACATGTAATAGTCCTTACAACTTGACAAAATCTTACCTATTCCATGAGTTTCAAAGTGGATGTGTGCACTTACAGGATCAAATTGTTGGAGATTAAGTTTGGATATTTAACTCTCTAGAAATTACATGGACAGAGATGAGCTGCACTGAACGAGTTTGGTATTGTTACAGGCATTACCGAAACAGCTGTTGACTTGCCCAGCAGGAGGAAT